AGAGAGAGAGAGAGAGAGGGAGAAACAGAGACAGACAGAGACAGAGAGACAGAGAGACAGAGAGAGGGGGGAGGGGGAGGGGGAGAGAGAGAGAGAGAGAACTGAGTTATTGTGTGTAACTCACACATGACAGCGCCTGGAACACATAAGCGTTGGTAGCTTTTGTCCTTCGGCTGCTAATGACCACTCCAAAAAGGAGTTATTGTTGCATATTTCTACTGTGTTTTGCCATTTACCAACTCGGCTCCCAATCAACATCAAAGAAATTGTCTTTGCAAAGTACAAAAGCAACTGCAAATCCTGAATTCCAAACCAGGATCTGTAACCAATACTGTGGCTCTCTCTACGTCAAGACATTGCAGCCAAGTCTTTGCACAAAACCACGTGCCTATACGGAGCCTCTAACTCATTTCTGTTTTTATTTAGACACCTGGAAGAGAAAGAAAGTCCGAACATAACTTAGTCAGTTTTGCTCTTTCGATGACTATCTGAAAGTCAGGTAGAGAGGAGATAAAAAGTAAATTGCTAAAATAGGATTTAGGGACTACATAAAATGTCCTACAACTGGTAATCCAATTATCTAAATAAAATCACTGCCAGTACACTGAGCTGCCCTCCCGCACTGCACCCAGGGCACCTTTCCATGTGTCACACAGTGAGGACAGCTTAGTACTACACCATGTTTTCTCTGTCGACTTAATCTAAAATTTCCACTTCTTCCCACTCCATCTTCCTTCTTGGTATTTGGCCCCTCAAATATTTGCAGATGAGGACTAAAGAAAAGGCTGCCTGTTCCTCGGAGGTGGGGACACGACTGAGCTGCCATGTGTGTATGTGAAAGCTGGCATGCTCGGCGGCGTGAGGGCCACGGAGCATGCTGGGCAGGAGCTGGGGACTGAGCAACGCCGCACACACATACCAGCAGTACTGAGGGTCATTATAAAACCCTTGGCATGGCCAACTGTCACTGGAGTACAAGTAGCTGTGAAATACCATACCATCAACTTCGGCAAAGTCTTGGGTCCTGAGACAAGCTGTTTATAATTAACCACTGTCTGTTACTCCCAATCAACCTGAGGCCCAGGGTGATGTGTATAATATCAAATAGTATAATATCAAATATTAACTTTATATTTACAGAAGAATTAAGATCTGCTTCTCCAATTAGGTCCCAGTGTAAAACCTGAACTGACACAAGTTCTAGGCTGCA